TTCCCCCTCCCCTTAAAACTGTTATTACCTATTATATTTCTGTTGTATATTATATAACTGCACAGGTTTATCTGGAGTCTGGTCCTAGCCTCGTCACTACCTCGCCGGGGTTAGGCCAGACCCTTACCAGCACATGGGATCGGTTGTGCTGATACTACACTCTGCACTCTGTGCAGATACCGGAGCGGCACTTGATCAGCAGCAGTAGGGGAGCCAACCTTCAGTCCACCGAGACACCGAGGTAGCCTTGAAGGCGTCCGCAGGCCCGACGTCTCCTATATCTTTTATTATATTATGTTATCTCATGTATCCGAGACAAACAGTGTTATTTTTCCTTCAAACTATTGTATGTAGTACTCTTAATAGTCCGTGGATATTGTGACACCAGTTTCTGGGTAGAGGCATGTGTTAACTTTTGAAACATTTTGGTTTTATACTTATTTAAGACTTCCGCTTAAATCTCATATTCCGCTGTCATGTAAGTGTTTATCACTTGTTAAAATGAGTTGTAAAAAGGATTAACATAGAAGAGTTAAAGATTTCTAAGTTCGTGGCTTGCCTAGCTTCTACGAGTAGGGGTCATCACGACTCCCGATGGTGGGAATTCCGGGTCGTGACAATTGTTCCACCAACCTCCTAATAAGGTGGATAGCTTCCATGGTTGAACGCCCGGGCATGAACCCGAACTGATTGTCGGATATAGACACCGTCCTCCTCACCCTCACTTTCACCATCCTCTCCCTAATTTTCATGGTATGACTTAATAACTTGATACTCCTATAAGATATTAATTAATATTAGAGATAATATAATGAGTAATTTAGTCAAATAATTCTTATAATTAATACAATTAAATGATGTCTTAATGAGAATGTCAAAATCTTAAACACTTATTTTGGATTCGAGGAATGATATACAACAGTATTTAACAGCACACAAAACGAAAGAAAAGACTAATTTTTTACACATAGTGCTTTAAGAATCTTGTTCTTTTAAGCATATTCAAAATCTTAGACCGGTCTCGGATTCGAGTTCTGTAATTGAAAAATTAAACTCTTACTAGGAAATATTTTCTTCTCTAATACATCTTATCCGATGCGAATTTGAACTAGTCAGACCTATAAATTTCAAACACCAAATGAATAAACAATAAGAGGCTATTTTTATATTTTTCTTCATTCTGATTGATTGTTTTATTCCTATTACAAGAGCATGCCATTAGTATTGTTTACAAGTATCAAGTTGGAAAACGAGAGGATCATGCATGTGAAGAAATTTTAGTTTCATATATATTTTTTACAAGGAAGCAATAATCAATAAAAGAATCAAATTTGTTAGCTATCATTTTCAGACTACCATTTCATTTTTATGATTGCTCTTTTGAAAATAACATCTTCTGCTAAATTTGTCATCACTCGCTTTTTCTGGCCCCTGGTTGGCAAATTTTTCTATTTTTCTAACCGCAGAATTATACCATATATATTTGAAAGAAAATAATTGTGACATCAAATAATTTGTGTTTTATTCTTGCATGATTGAATTCGATTTAGAAACAACCCTAATCTTATAGTATAATATAGCCCATATCTCATCCCAAAAATTCTAGCAGCACTACTTTAATGCATCCTTTCAATATTTCAATTATATTTGAGAATTTTTTCGTACTAAGCGGGTGCTCTAACCAACTAGGTTACTAGAGTTTATTGCTCTTTTGTTTCAGTTCAAGACAATTGATCTCTTGTTTCAGTACTACAGGTGAATTGCTACAAAAAATTAAAAAATAGCTGCGAACGGTAATTTTCAGAAAGTATAGCTACGAATGATAAATATAATGTATATATTTGATGTATCGCATAATATTTTCATTCTTTTTCTAGACACGACAGTTTCATACGACTAACCTTTTGATATTTTTGTTGTTGAAATTTTTTAGGTTATGACTTTTTGTAGCGTCGTCCTACTTCGTCAAACATGTTGTGATTTTTATAGTTATAGCTTTGAGAAAGAGCGCGAATTCGGATTTAGTCAAACACCAATACGAATATCAAACATCGGGGTGGAAAAGGCAAAAAAAAAAGCGAAAAAGTTCTGCTATAGTCCCATCATGGCCTTTGAGAAATGTACTTTAATATACAACTGAACTTTTTGAAGGAATATTGGATTGCAAGTCTAAGCTGAAGGAATAACTTGCAATCCAATTCTTCAAACTCTTTTGTGGTTGCAACTATTACGTAAACTCCTATCTAGGAGGAGTATATATTTATCTTCACCTTTTTACACCCTTTGTTTCACAGTACCATTAAAAAACAAATAAACGTAGAGGAAAGGAAATATCTTGATGGCATGCAGCTAAATTAAAGTGGTCCTTGCCCTAGCGTAATTCACTATTAAAATAAAGAACATAGTTGACATTATTACACCAATTAAAAAGGTGAAATGATGAGCTCACAATAAAATTATAATTCAACTGCTAGCTAGCTTTTGGCCGCATGCACTTGGATCCTACTGCAAACTGAATTATTCTTTCTCCCTCCATACATATGTTTAATAATTGAGGGTAAGCTATATATACGGTTAGCAAGAGGCGGATTCAGAATTCGACGGTTACAGAGACATCATTACATTCGATATAAATTTATTGCTGCTCATGAAAATTGATAAGAGTCTCTATTAATATTTGATTATTTCTTAAAGATATCTGCAAGTATATATAAAGTTTTTGCCGAAATTTTCAGGTGACGGTGACCCGGCCCTCTTCCTACCATATACGGCTGCCTCTTAGTGTAAAAAAAATTAACATCAATGTGTCACCTGTACCAATTGTAAGGAGTAAATAATATATCTTATTTCTAAAATTATGAATCTATCATTTAAGGAGGTTACATGTTGATATAACCAACTGTTATCCTACAAAAGGGATAAAAGAAGAAGTTTAATACTTGTGTGTTTGTCTGACGGCTGCTTGTGCACATTGTACTTTTCAATCAATATAATATTATAACCATAACATTTACATAGACGTAGGAACACACACACACACACATATATATATATATATGTTCCCAAAGTTTTCCTAGTATCTTTATGTAAGTACAGTCATTAATATTTGATTATATGTCCGAGTCTCCGACCACATACGAACATCACTTTGCATAGATTCCTTCCTTCACTCCCCTATGCACGCAAAATCATATATTAATGTAGGAATAATTGTATGAACAATTATTTTTAAAGTGAAAACGAATGTTAAAGTTTAGTAACTATTGTTATTATATTGTTAATAAGCCCCGCTTCCCCTGCATATCAGTCTAATTACTGTATTTCTTCTAACGAAAACAAAATTAGGTACGATAATGCCGTTGCGGAATTTAATTAATATGTTTAGTTTTAGATTGTTTTAGCTTTAGTTGTTCTGGAAAGACAACAGTGTCTTGACAAAAAAAAAAAGACAATTATGTCTGTATTTTGTTGTGAAAAGCTATATATTGAATAACCAAAAAGTAATTACGAATGGAATAGTTTGTACAAACTCCTTTGAATTCTGCAACTCGAGATCTGAAAGATTATATCTATCAGTTCTTTTTTCTTTTTCCTTTTCGTTTTTTTCTTAATTAATCCATTGCATTTTTTTTTAAAGTAAAAGGCAGATGACTTTTAAATTACGTAAAAACAGTGGCCAAACAACATGCACGTTCCCCAAAAGCCAAACATCTCGATATTTTTTGGGGACTAACCACACATGGGGCTGTCTTGCTACAATCTATGGGATCCAATGCTACTATGTGATATTTGTAGATTTCATTGTTATTTCGAAGAAAAAAAAAGCCTCATTTGTACAACAAAAAGAAGTTAAAATCATTTTTAGATTTCATAGAGCAAATATCATGAGTATAGTCTAAGCTGCTCAAGGGGCTCTCCTGATTGAATAATTACTTAATTTACCCGAGCGGAAAAGGAAAAAAATATTAAGCTCCTACCAAAAAAAGATTTAATATCAGTATGTTCATAGTTCAACATTGCGAGTGTGCGAGCAAAGTTTCAGAAGGTATATGTTAAATGTAAAAGTATTATTAATGATGTGAGGTATTTTAAAAAAAAGCGTATAAATTAACCAAAGCAATCAGTATCATAGCGTTAAGAGTATAGTATTGGGAAAAAGATACTATATAGCCGCTTTCAAAATAATTGCCAAAAAAATTTTAAAATATTTTATACACTTCTTCGACGACTGAATGTAAATAATTTCTGGAGCGAGCTAAAAGTGATAATACTCCTAAGAGTATAATAGCCCAACAAGCATTACTGAATACTCCGTATGTTTTAGGCTTTTAGCGTGATATTCTTTTAAATTTGAAATTTTATACTTATATTATTTGCACGTTGACTAAACTAGACTAACGCCTTCATTCTTAAAAGTGTGCATTAAAACAAAGAAAATAGAGGGAAATATATATCTCGAACTTTTACCACGCTTTTATATATTTTTTCCATTATTTTATAATAAATGATTATACTTTAAGATTTCATTTTGACAAAAAAAGGTAGTCCTTCTCATGGTCGCTTCAGCGTTCCACTAGTAATTTGGAACGTAATTTCTTCCACCTAATTAATTCGCTTTGATCCTATAATAATCTATTTTTATATGTATGCCAAGCAACACGAAAACAAAAGATGATTACACATTCAATATCTATATCGGACAAGATTGCGATATCAATCTTTGCTTGGAGCTGTCGCCATCTTTAAAATAACAATGTTACATCTATTAATTCGTTCGTCAGAGAAATGTCAGCATAATTTAAGAGGAAATTGGATAGGTTTTGTGTCTTCATGTTATTTTGAAGTTGCTTTATAATTATTTTATAGGGCCGGGTAAAAACGAATATTATAATAAAGAAGAGAGAATACTACTTAGGAAATTAGGTCACGGGACTAAAATATTCGTTATCTAATCACAATCCTTTAATCTTTTGTAAAATGATGATTTCGTTCAATTGGCATTACTGAAAAATAAACAACCCTTCTCCACTAAAACCGGAAATACATTGTCCAAAGATAAAAACAACAATTACTACACCTCAATCTCAAACTAATTAAACACACAAGCAAGTAGAATACGCATGCTAGGCTTAACCATCCATATTAACTTTTTCTTTTTTTTAAATGCACACACACAAACAAAAATATAAACAAATTAATGATAAATAAATGGATCGTGAAGGCCAACATACACGTCGATCCAACATGCACTTTAACGGAGTTTTACTTCTTCAAGACACTGCAATTGATGAGAGTCGCCAGTTAGGCTATTTGGTAATTGGTAGTACTCTTGCTGAAGACAGTTTATTTACACTAGTAGAAACTATGAAAAAGGATCAACATATTACACGTAAATCGCGGGCTGACACTCTTAATTGCTGACATTATAAGATGAAATAATGAAACAAAAAGAAAAGGACAAGACAGGATCTGAAAACTTACTTGTACAAATAGGCTGCAATCCCAAGAATGATGATCAGCAAAATGATGTCGATACAAAAGTTTCGACTAGATCTCAGCTGCAAAACAACCAAAGTTTGTCAAACAAAGCTCAGGAGTAATCCTTGTATCAGTGCAGATCACTTACTGCAACTGAATATAGCGGTAATTAAGCTTACCTGGTTAACTGTATCCTTGAGCCTAACGTTGGTATTCTTCAAGTCTGAGGTTGCCTTGTCCACCTATTGAGAAGTCGAACCATATCAATCTTTAGCTATGCTTCTTTCCATATCAAGTATTACATAAAACAGTTAAGTAACCAACCTTTGTGTCAATCTCATCCATCAGAGGAACTTGTCTATCCAACTCCTGCATGCAATGCATCACATCTTTAGTACCTATGTCAATTGGAATGATATAAAATAAAAACCATGAATGCAGCAAACCTCGTTCATATCACTGGCCATGTTTTTCAAAGTATCCAAGCCTTCTGCTATGACCTCCAAACCTTGGTCCTGTGCGACGTGCAAACTTAAATCTTAAACATAGTCCAGGAAGCAGTAAAGAAGCAGTAAACATAACCTCAATTAAGGGGGAAAAAGCTTCATTCAAAGAATTTCATGATAAACAACCGAAAAAAGGACATACCTGTCTCATTTTCCGCATTTCATACTCTTGCCTGAATTGACTTGACTCTTCAGTTTGTTGAAAATATTCATTGTCAAATTGTCCATCTGTAATCCAAGTACACTCCGTAAGTGATCTAACAATCAGCTATAGCCTACGCAAGACGGACTACATGATACTTTTATTTCATGATAAATTATGCCGTTAAAGGCTCATTTTAGGCACACTTAAACCCTGAAGCTAGGTGAGGCTCATGTAGGTGGTTCGCTTCGTTTAGCAAGCTCTTTAGCACAGGTATGCACCTTATCGGCAATAGGCTCTATCTTGAAGAGAGTGGCACTGAACAATAAATATAACTGAAAAAGAGATACATTATTTAAAAAATGTTATGAGTGAATATGTTACTTCTTAGGAAAAAGAATTAAGACCTTTCATATTAGAAACTAGTCACTTAAGCTGCATTAGAAACTTATAACTGCATCTAAACAAAATATTAAATTGGATATTAAACTTAATCCACATGTTTTTTACTACATAAATTTGAAGTTTTTCATTTAATTTTTAATTAGTTTTTCCTTGCATAACATATATTCTTCTATGTTTTTCTTCACTGTGTCTTTCTTTCCTGAAGCTCATGCTTTAATTGCGGTACAGATAGAGCCCCAACAGACCTGGGGCGCTTTTTGCCCTTGACAACACTAAATACACATGCAGAGAGAACAACTTACAGGAAAATCAGTCAAATGGCAGAAATTATCAATCACCTGAATCAAATTTAATTTCTGTGCGAGAACCTGAAGCTCTCCATCCTCCAGATTGTTTGGGTGGAGCTGCAGAGCCATCTGGTATGGCATTTATTCTATCTGGTAGTGCAAGAACCAAATCATTACGGGCAGCAAGTTCTTCACCCGACAGACCTTTGACCTGAAATTGAGGGTTATTTAGTACCAAGGAAACTATTTAATACCACAGATTACCATATAAATGCAGATTTACTCTTTCGGTAGGGAGGAGAGCAGCAACAGTAGTGAACATTGCAAGAGATATTGGTTATCAAGTAACTGAAAAGTGTGAACATTGCAAGAGATATTAGTTATCAACTAACTGAAAAGAAGATGAACACAGTTCGAAGTGCAACAACCAAAGGTTTCTAAGCTCCATTACTGTCGTCTTTACATTGAGTCCTTGTTTACTCTTATAAATGAAGCAAGCAGCTAAAACAGTTTTGCATATTGAGGTTTAACTCAGACACGTCAGTCAAGACTGAGCAGTACCCACTTGTAACTATACAAAGTAGAATAACGCAACTTCGCCCCTCGGTCCTTTTCTACTCTACAAAGGAAATGTGCTGCAATGACTAGGTTAAGAAACCTTTTTTTTTTTAAATCAGGGTGGAGTAGGTTAAGAAACATGTACGACGCTAGATTACCAGAGCATCAAGATCCACAATCATTTTGGTAATGTCTACCACTAGCTAAAAAAATTAGAAGAGATTATGGCTAGTGGGAATTGAACTAGTGAACTCACAAAGGTTTTGAACCCTCTTAACCACTGAGCTATGCTTTTGGCCTATTACCAAGGGGATTCAAAACATAATATATTTTGAATCCCCTTCTGCCCCCATAAATCCGCCCGTCTACCACCCCAACCATCTCCAGATGAGTCACAAACTTTTCTGGTCAATTACAATCAATAGCTTCTTGGTTTGTTTGGGAGGGGGTATATTATCACCTCTATTCTATCCAATAATTTATGGATACACAGATGGAAGCTTTCAGACTCTTAATCCCTCAATCTGATGGAGTACCATCAACGCAAAACCTCTGAATCCAGCGTTTTGGCATTTTTATCAGATACACTCCTATACTCAGGCCACTTTGCTCAAAATCTTCCAAATTATCTTCAGTTACCTTTTAAGTAGCATGGATATGAAATCAGAACACAACTGATTGTTTGTAACAAAAAGAAATCACCTGGAAACTATATAATGCACGTGCAAATATTATGTCGCTTCAATCTACCAAAGGAGAACATAAAAAAGAAAAATAAATTACTGACAAGTGTACATATACAAGGTATAATTCGTCAATCCCATGGATTCAAGTTATTCTGAGAAACCAAAAGAATAAATTTTAACATTCTGAAAAAGAATGAAAACTGCATACTGGGTATCTAAATTTATTCGCAATTTTTCACCAATCTCGTTTCTTCCTGCCACTTAATCAAACAAGAGGAAGCAAATTCTAAGTTTTCATAAATTTCCTTACAATAAAAGGACCTTATTTAATTTTTTTCCAAAAGTTGTCTTTAATTAGGGCTGTGTGCAATAATTCAAAATTAAAGTTTTCTGAGTCTCTTTGAGCGACTGGGTGTTTATTTCCCCTTATTCTACCACTCAACTTTACTTCTTTGTGCTCTATTTCCATTCTTCTATCAGCCCTCTTCATCTCTCAAGCTCTCCCACTCCCTTGGACTCTTGTTCTCATAAGATTGACAGCTTCTCTCAGATTGTTCTTGGAATTTCAACCTGCAAATTTCAAGCCAGCAGCCCAACGCAGCATCATCCCTCCCTCCCTCCTCCTCTCTCTCCCTCTCCCACTCTCTCATAGATAGTCTCTCTTCCTTAAGATTGAAGAAGGAAAATAGCATGACCAATTGCATTTTTTGTTTGTATACTACTCTGGAAACCCAACATGTCCCTGGTCAAAAATCCCACCAACCAAAAGACCAAATCATAATAACCAAAAGGAAACCCAAATTGAGGAACCAAAGAATCCTGTAAGTTAATTAAAATTATTGAAAACTGACTGAATGAACAACCTTATTTTCTAGGCTTAACAAAGTATTTTAGCGATATCAGAAATAGGGAAGCCGTACATGATTGTCCTCAGCAAGTGACATGGTTTCCAGAATTTGAGATGTTAGACTCAAGTAAGATTTGGTGAGCCTTCTATTTTTCTTATCTACAGGACAGCCAAATTTAGATTTAGAGATTTTAACATGGTATAAAGGAACACTATAAGTCTATTCCTCCAAAAGTAAAGCAAAGAATGCAACTTGCTGAAATAGTCAGGTACGAGCTCACACAACACCATTAGCTTAGGAGCATCAAGCTATAAAAAGGAGAACTGCATAGTCCGCGAGTTCATCTGGGTTTGCTATTAGTTGCTAACCAGGATAGGAGAATTAAAGTCTTACAACTTATCGGACTTTTGTTCCGGAAAATAGAAACTTGTAATAATTTGTAGTAAACCTGAGTGCTCATATGGCTGATCAAACTCCTGTTGCTATCCATAGTGTTCTTTTTGAAAAGGACTATCTATAGTAATCTTGAACCATTAAAATGAGGAAAAACGAATATTGAAGTTAATGTGCTAAACTGCTAATAGTAAATAGTTATCCCCGAAAACGCCTCACCCATAAGTTCCTTTGTCTTTGGGGAAAAAATTCTCTTTTCATTTTTAGATTCGAAATTCTTCATTTTTTTCTCCGAATTTCCCACTCTTTATATGAGGCAATCGAAGAGGCAGCAAAATAGGAACTTTCGATCAGGGAGAGCTCAACAAGGTCGAGACCAAGATGATGGATATTCCAAGGAAGATCGAAGAAGATGAATGAAGGTTTATACCTACCCCTAACTGGCACTATGAATCCAATCCCATCTACATAGATGTTCCTAGCCACGAGATGAGGGGGTTCTCTCTTACTGTTAAGCCGTCTTCAACTCTTCTTTCTTTACTCCTTTCCGCATCGGGGCTGANGACATCTGTGTAGCCGTAGATAACCACCCCTCCCCCACCAAATGGTCCCTTTTTTCTAGAAGTGATGTAGCCATGTAGGATGATCAGTACACATCTTATCCGCAAAGCAAATGACCTAACAATACAATATATATCACTGTCAATCAATCAACTACACCACAATAAAAGGTTAGTTGTGATCAGCTATGTGAATCCTATATCTCCATTCCCCTTTATTACAACGCGTCTTGTAGGCACCTTCTAACCAATTCAACATCCTTGTATTTCAATATTTCATAATATATCATCAACCTATGCAACCCTCGTCTTTTCTACGTACTTATGATCATCTATGCTTTTACAAAACTCACATATTACAAACATACAAATCAAAAAGAACAATTTTAAACCGGCTTCCACTCCCCCTCCTTCCAACATTGTTCTTTATCTTACCTTTCATCAAAATCCAGAACCAGTCAACCAAATCAACAATCTCGAAAGATAAACAGATTATGAAAAAGTAATCCAAGTACAACATATCCCATCAGTTAATTTCCAATATCATTACAGAACCAAATCAGCTATAAAAAAAAAGTCAAAGTAAACCACACCTTCCTTACAGCCAACCTCTGCAATTTTGGAACCTCCTCGAGTAACTTGGCTTTAGTTCTCCGAATTTCAGCGTTGATCGCCACAACAGATGCCCTATTTTTCTCATTAGCAGCTGTTTCCGCTTTCTGTAACCGCAAGGAAAAACAAAATGTGTAAAACTAAACCCTAGAACACACACAGACAAAATGTTAAAAAGGTGAATTATTTACCTGAAGAGAAGCTTCGATGTCGGATTCAACGGAAGAATAGAGACGAGCGAAGGCGTCGTCGCCGGCAACGTTGGAATCCTTGTGCTTGTCGATGTCGTACTTGTCATATTTCTTACAGATTGAGTCAACCCGTGTCAGTATATCTATTACGCTCATTTTCCTTCTGATTATTCCACTGCACTTCTTCTTCTTCTCTCACAATTTGTGGAGATCACGAAATAAATACGAACGGGAGATTTTTACTTTGAAGACGGAGAACACACTCTTCAAAATACAGACTGGAGTAATTTTTTTTTTCTTTTCTAAAAGCATAGGGGTCTCTTTCGGGTTTACGGTTTGGGTTTGGGTTTTAATATAGGTAAAAATAGCAGGTATAACCAGTTTTCGGACTGGTCATTCAAAAATAGCCAGTGTTTACCAAGTCAATGAAAAATAGCCACTATTTTACTACAACAGAGATCGGTCCAGCATAATATACTGGAGTTCGGTGCACATGTGTATGAACTCCAACATATTATGTTGGACCGATATACTTTGCTGGCTCCAGTATAATATACTAGAGACTGGAGCACCGGTGCTCCAAACTCCAGTATATTATGCTGGACCGATATACTTGCTGGAACTCCAGTATATTATGCTAGAGTCCTAGTGTACTTATATTGGAACTCCATCATATTATGTTGGAGTTCCAACATACTTATCCTGGAACTCCAGTATAATATATTGGAGTTCAAGTATACTTATGCTGGAACTCCAGCATAATATACTGGTGTATTTTCCGGGTTTTGAACAGTGTTTTCGCTCAGATTTATCTTTACATGAAAAATGGCTAAATTTCGATTACTTTTGAAATTGAGCTATTTTTGAACGACTAGTTGTAAATCTGGCTATTTTTGAATTTCACCCTTAATATAGAGATTTTTGTTTAAGGCACAGTAATGCATAGATTGCCCCAGAGACAATTTGTAGGTATTTGGACATAAAAATTGTAATTTTTGAAAAAATAATTATATTTGGAGTTAAAGTTGAAAAATGATATTTGAAATTTGAAATATGTTTGGACATACATTTCACTTGAAAAAATATTGCATTTTTTTGAGCGGGAAACTTTTTTTTTTCCTGAAAATAAAGATTTGTCTTTAAAAAACTCATTATCGAAAATTTTCTAAAAACTTGCAAAATTTTATAGAAAAATATATTTTTGGAAAAAAAAAATGTATGGACAAAACGGTGCCTTAGACAAATTTGGTGCACGAAATATTATTGGGCTTAAAAGGCAAAAAGACTAACGTGCTGAACGAAATTCTGTTCTTGACCCGCCAATGAATATAGATTTTCATCGAGACACTTAATATGTTTGAAATTAATGTTTTAAATGTCTTTAATAGTCGACTAAACTTATACGGTGTTGGTATCATAGACGGAGCTAGCCTATTGTATTCGCCTAGATCCAGTCACTTCCGCTTAAATATTATATTTATATTAAAAAAATTATTAAATTTGTATTAATATTTAATTATGAGACTAATAACTAAGACGAGCTATGAGTTCTGTAAAAAATTTAGAATCCTTAAATTCTGTCTCCGCCTTTAAATTTCACCAAATCCCATGATGTTGATCCTGGAGCCTTTCGGTCAATGATGACAGTGAAGGAATTGGAATAGCTTAAGTCTAAGTTCGGCCTTCCCAATCACATTAAATTAATCCCTGCTGGGTGGGATACAGTGCAGGTCCACCGTCCTGGGTATTGCGCCTTCTACGCCTACCCCTTCCAAGTCGGCTACTCTCTCCCTCTTCTTCCATTAGCGGAGGAATTCTATCGTTATTATGGTATTTTCCCAGCTCAGCTCGCGCCGTACGTTTATAAACTTATAAAGACGCTTACCAAATTTGTCGAGCTAGCCAGGGTCGAGTTGACACTTCAGCACTTAATACATCTGTTCGCCCCTAGCTTTTATAGGGGAACGATGTTGGATAATTGGGTAATTAATAATTTTTTGGCGGGAGATTAGATAATTAATTAGAAGTTTGTGGATAATTATTTAAGTGAGATTTTGGATAATCATTAGGGGACAACACTTCCATGCAGGATTGTAGAATTATGGCAGCAAATTGCCATCTAATTAGGTGCTTAAGGAGGTGGTGACAGAAATTTAAAGATATGGACACCTTATCTCATTCTTGTTGAAGAATTCTATTAAAAGACTTCTCTTTAATTCACAAAATGGAATAGAGATGTTTTACATCTACTAAGTAACGGGTGAGGCTTCAGCAAAGAAATTATACGAGATTATCATGTAATAGCAGTGCGAGATGCAATTCTAAAAGAGCACGGTCCAACTTTCTCAATAATATCATACGGATTTTTCCCTACTTCGATCCACCGTTAAGTATTTTCGCAAAAGACGTGTGTTAGAGGGATTATGGTTAGAGAATTGATTCAGGTATGTTAAGGCTATCCCTTCTTTCTTTTTGGCATGATCCAAATGATACAAACTAAACGAGCAAACACACAGCTTTCATAAATGACTCTATTCATAGAAGTACTAGGGGTGTCTAAGTTCTTGATTCCCCATGTGACATATTATTATATTTTCTGTTCATGAGTCTCAAAAAAATACGTAGTTGATAAAGTTTATCCGAAAGGTATATTAATCTTAATTAATATATTTCTTATGCATTTCATTCATTTATACATGTACATTGACCCATGACCAGATGACGTTATATACGTATATATTATATGTATATGGGATATGAAAAAAGGTTATGATGCTATATACGCACCACCACTTGATCAGCTGGTATACGTTGATGATTTTGCCCATAGTGGCTGAGTTGATATGATGGGATGCCCTCATAGGCTTGATGATATTATGTACACATATACCTATGCATGGTATGATATTTATACGCATATGCATGATATTTTAAATAATAAATGATTCACAGAGCTATTCAGACTTACATGTCAAGTCTTTTACTCCATGTTTCTCTCATGACTTTTATTTACTAATGTTCATTAGTTACATAATCGGTACTTTATTTGTACTGACGTTCCTTTTGCCTGAGGATGCTGCGTTTCATGCCCGCAAGTCCCGATAGACAGGTTGAGAGTCCTCCAAGTACGCTATCAGCTCAGCGAAAGGTGTTGATGCGCTCCATTTGCTCCGGAGTTGCTTATTTGGTGAGTATGATTAGTACATGTATTGATTGGTATGGCGGACCCTTGTCCCGACCTTCATGATATTATGTACTCTTAGAGGTTTATAGACAAATATCATGTATATGAAAGATTGTATGGCTTTGTCGGCCTATGTTTGAGTATATAGAGGATCATGCCAGCCTTATAGGCTCATATGTCATATGTATAAGTTTGTATTACACATTGGGTCATCCTATATCGAGTGTTCCCTCATATTTCACTCTAGTTATCTCACAACAGCCCTCTCCATTTCATTTACGTATAATAGTATGACACGAAAGATATGTTATGTTGGTACTCAGTTGAGTAAGGCACCGGGTACCCGTCGCGGTCCATCGGTTTCGGTCGTGACAAAAGTGGTATCAGAGTAGTTCTGTCCTAGGGAGTCTTCAAGCCGTGTCTAGTAGAGTCTTGTTTATGGGTGTGTTGTGCACCACACTTATAAGAAAGAGGATAGAGGGCATTTAGTACGGTCACTCTTTCTTCTTACTCTAGATCGTGTGGTAGAGCTCAGTCATAGAAATTCAAATTCCTAAATTCTATTATATTCGTCATACAACCACACCTACATCCAAAAAGACAGTTGATAAGAGATTGAATGTGACTGTAGAAGAGTTGAGTCAGAGGAACTCGATTTTTCATAATGCTTATGATGAGTATTAGGTCTTCAACAATTCATATGTGTACTAGGATGTGTAAGCTTCTTGATAAGGAGCCTTAAGGCATGACCATCTATCCACCCTTATGATAAAAAGCAATGAGAGAATCAGAAGGTATATGCAAGTTTCAACAAGTAAAAGAAGCAAGGTGAAAAAGGGTACGAGGTACCCAGCTAGTGAAGATTATCATTATTTACCATCCAGGAAGAGAGATATAAGCATTTTGAGTTACCTTCAAATGAAACCACGGTATGTACAATTGGCCACACCCATCTCAGTTATGCCCTATGGGGGCTAACATAAGTAGTATAAGAGAAGAACGGATACCAGGATCCGATTGGGGTTAGAGTGACCCAAAATGGTGGATGGATTATTTCTGTTAGTTAATATTTCCGAAGGATATTGTAAATATGCTAATAGATCTCCTTGTGAGACACCCAGATGGTGCGCTCTAGAATAATACAGCTAGATATGAATACTAGAATGTTAAAAAAAATTACAAAGATAGGCACTGAAATCCTGGAAGAGATAAATATTACCGTAGTATGGCTCCCATCTCTAGTAGAGAGAGAATGTTAGGCAACTCAAAGAGCCAGTGGATGAAGCAAAGGGATCTAAAAGCAAAAGAATATCTTGTTGAAGTTTTCAGAATGAAGTGATAGACAAAAATATTAGCAGGGAAATAAGAAGAGAGTTAATGAAGGATTATGAGTAAGATGTGATACATGGATGACAACGGTAGAAAAAAATGAAAAATGACAGTATTACAAAGTCTATAGTAAAGTAAAGAAAAAGACGAGAGGTGATAGGCCTTGAGACAACAAAAAAGTATAGGCTATAAAGTCATATCCTCATTTCGAAAAATAAGTCCGTGACTCCAACGTGATTACCAAAAGGAAAAGTTAGACCTAGAGTAATAGAAATCAGTATGGACTGGTGAACAAGATAAACTAAATATGAATTAGGTATTGAGTGATTTGATAATAGTCGGCATTATGAGAAATTCAGAGATTGCGTTCCTGCAATAATAGAATGGATGACAAAAGAATATTCATGAGAAATTCAGAGAATGGTCATTCAGGAAGATGCTTCCCTGAAGCAAGCAATGTGAGCAAAGTTAAGCTTAAGGGACTGTGTGTGCCAGATACACTAGGTGTCTCCCTCATGAGTAAGAAATTTTGTTATCCTTGGTACAAAAGGATTTCTGCAAGGCGAGTAAGGGTCATCGATGATGTGAAAAGATGCCAAAGATGAAGAGGTAAAATATCTATACATTGATCATCGTAGCACTAAATCTCAGTACTCCCCCAAAGGGGAAATATGGAGTGATGTGGCATTAAGTTAGAATTAAGTGGTTCTAGTAATTATAGAATGGTAAAGGAAGAATGCGATAAAAATGAGAAAGGGATGAGATTGCACTTATTCAAATCCTATAGATATGCAAAGATT